TAATTTTACAGTGCAATCCTAAGCAAGTCTGTTCAATGCTATTGAATCCCAAGTAAGCCAGACTACAGTGGCATCAGCCATCTCCTAATACTGCATGACAGGAGTTGGACAGTTTAGTTAGCACTTCTATTTAGGAGGGATATCTTTCTCCTTTAACACCCATAGTGCAACATTCTGAGCATTCTTCTATACCACTAATTTTTTTGCTCCTCTGTCTATGTGGAAGGTCATAATTCAGGCACTTTAAAGTTCACTGCAATCAAGGATTGACTCTCCTTTTCTGCTACTTGAGAAGCCTCAGCTGAGTATATGCATTGGCCCTGAAACCTAGAAGAGCACAGTATCTGTCTAGTTCTACTGTTGGGCAGGGGGAATGGGTAACAGGAGGCAGAGAGGATTTTAAAGATAACAGTAGTATCTTCTGAGTGGCACAGAGAAGGCAGCAGTGTTTGACAGAGAACTTTAAATGAGCAGAGCAGTGCTTAAAACTTTCTGTGGTTTGTACAGCAATGGCCAATCTAATTGCAAACACCCATTTTTTAAAGCCGATTACTGTACAGTAGCATTCCACAAATTGCCGATATTCATATTTTTTAATATTCATTTAAAGTATTTTGAAATTCTGTTATGTTGGCACATAGGATACCCGCAGCATGCTGACAACAAGAAGTGGTTTTGGTGGAATGAAGATGGTCATAGTAGGTATAAGAGAGTTTGAGATGAGTAAGAGCGTATGCAGAAGTCTGAGCACAGGCTGTCCAGATGTGCCAGTACAACAAACAAAGGAGCAAATATTTATATATTTATCTTAAATATGCTTTTCAAAATTCAAAAATCCTCTTTATTACTGACTTTTTTTAAAGAAAGCTTACATCTGGAAGTACCATAGCTGTGGTTCAGTTTCACATCTGAGTAGAATAATGGAAGACAAACAAGGCAATGTTTGGATTAGATTTTTGGGTGCAAACAAGGCTAGTATAAGTATAAAGCATAGATAAAACAGATCAGTAAGAAAGTAACTACTAGTACTGAATATTAAAATATTTGTTTTGAGTGACATTTTATGATGCAAACTCAGTGTTGGTGCAATGTTGGTATAATGCATTATACTAGTACATTTTCTGATATTCACTTTTATTTATTTATGAGACCTGCATTTTACCTTTTATCCACAAGCACAAGACTGATTTGTTTAAACTCTCCCATCAGCTCAAAGAAGGGTTGGACTGAGAGAATGCCTGCCCCAAGATCAGTCAAGGAACTTCATTTATAAATAAGGGTTATATCATGCCTTGATATAACTCTGATGATAGTTGAAAGTGTATCTTCTGGAGGAGACTGTGTTTTCTGCTTGTACTTCATGATTAGTTTTTATCTACTTTCTGTAATATAAATAAGTCTTAGTCTAATGATGGTTTGCTGTCCATACACATGCATCTTGCATTTCCTATCTTCAAGGTAACAATCAATAACTGATATAAGAAGAATCTATATATGATTAAAATTAGGCCTGAAGCTGGAAACTTTTTGAAAGAGATTTTCATAATGTATGTGAATATAAAACAAACATTTAAATAAAATATTAGTAGGCATGTGCTACTAATGTTAAGTTTAGAGTTACTTTTTACACCACAATTGTTGCAGACCTCAACATGACTTTACAGATTCCTTATCTCTGCAAGTAAAAGGGCGAACATTTTCAATTTTTATCTTAAAAAAAAAAAAAAAGTTCCAGCAAAGTACCCAGTTAGAGCTCAGTTTCAATTTGTACCTAAGAGAATGTTTAAAATTGCTCTACACTTAGTGGATTGCATTTCTTTTTGAAGCCAAAACAAAATTTAGATTCTCATAGACCAGAGAGAATTGCTTATGCTGTGGCTGTCACATATTGGCAAACACATAGTCAAATGAAGCTACTCAAAATAAGAAACACAATTATGAAGTCCATTGTTTGCTACAAATACTATTTTTAAGAGTAATCTTTTTAATATTGTCACAAACTTATATAATACATTATATTGTTTCAATGCAGTTAATTTGTATAGTGTTTGTACAGTTGACTTGCACAACATTTGTAGAGTGTTGATTAAAAATTATTAACACTCTAATATTTAGATAATTTAGAACATTGAGGATAAAAACAAAAAAAATCAGTATTATAAATTAAAATATCAGTGTTAATGAGCATAAAATATTTGGTTTTTTCATCCAGAATTGAATATAATTGAATATAATGTTAGAAAACTGATGCAGATTGCATCAAAGTATTTGTTGTACAATAAAGATTGTACAAAAAATATTGTACAATATAATAAAAACAATATAACACAGTAAATATTATTGTACAATAAAGTTTTGTTCTTAAGCTGATTATGGTCTTAAGTTGATTAAGGTCTCCACTGTATTGTCACTTAATGTTTGTGCATGTTGTAAAATGAAAAAAGAAGATGAAGCAAATTTGATGACAATTAAAATACTGGAAAAGAAAGAAAAAAGGGGGAAAAAGAAAGAAGAAAAAGATTATTCAGTTTCTAACCTCTCTCTTTTTGTCCGTCTGCTAATTTACAATTTTTATAAACAATTGGGCCCCCTTAGAAGTCAGACTGTAAATGTTTGTTGCCATGCTGTGTGATGTATGTATGGGAACCATTACACCATTACATTTAACCATTCATGCTTAAATTTGGTTAAACTTCTGTTGTGAATATATACTGTTAATTTTGCCATTGTTGCATATTCTCCAAGTTTAAGCTCCCAATCAGATACTGCCCGAATTGTATCTTTCTTCCAGTATCGGGTAAAATTTATTCTCACTGCTGTAAGCATGTATCTAATTAAATTGTGATGTTTCTTGTGTTTTTCTGGGACTATAACTAGTAGAAAGGAAGAGAGCTGCACTAATATTTTTAGACTCAGAAGAAGCCTTTGATAATTTGCAGTGACAATTCCTGCTGTCTGTATTGAATAAAATGAACCCCAGAGAAGAGTTTCAAGCTTGGGTTAAAAGTATATACCAACAGCAAAAAGCAAAGATTATAGCTAATGGAGCACTCTCTGCAGATGTCCAAATCAGTAAAGGAACAAGGCAAGGGTGTCCATTCTCTCCTTTATTATTCATCATTGTGTTAGAAATACTGGCAGAAAAAGTTTGAGGAGATAAATAATAAGTCTCAAAATATAAGCTGAAATGTTATACAGATGATGTAGTACTAACCATCACAGAACCACAAAAGTCAATAAAATAGTTAATGAAAACAATTCATAGTTTTGGAGAATTCTTTGGATATAAAATCAGTGTTCAGAAAGCAAAAATAATTACAATATATTTAACGCAAGGAAAAATCAGTCTTTGGCAGGAGGAATCTGACTGAAATATAATTTTAATTTATGTTCTTGATTTGCTTACTTAATTCCTGAAATTTTATTTCTTTCTGCTTTGCCAGTAGTTGTAATGCTGGTAGAAAAGAAGGAAAAGGGGGGCAAACTTGTGTTGTTCCCTTAATTAAAGCAGATTTTTTTTTGATAAAATCTATTTACCATTGACTTGGCTGTTTATTTTTTGTAAATACTCTATGCATGTAACAACATTCAAGCCACAATTCATCTTTTTCAGTCATAAATATGAATAACCATTCCAAATTATCAAAATCTTTTTTTCACATCTAGAAAAATCATGGCTACTTTCTTGCTTTTCTGATTTTTATTAAGAATATCATTTAAAATGTATCTAATGTTATTCCCATATATCTTTTCAAAACAACTCCAGTCCCATCAGGGGTATCTATACAGCTACAAGCCATTTAGTCTTTTTTTGTAAGTATTGCTGTAAAAAGTTTATAATTTACATTAATTAATGAAATAAGTCTCTGTGACTCTGGCCAAGTCAGCTTGTTTACTTCTGTATAAATCATGAAATTAAAGCTTCCTTCCAGGAAGAAGGAAGTACTTAATATTGTTGAATCTTTTTCATTACTTCAGTTAATGGTTTAATCATGATTTCCTAGAAGGTTTTATAGTATTTTGCAGAAAATGTGTCTGGTCCTGGAGTTGTAGATTCTGCTTTGTCTTAATTCTAGTTGCTTCAGTTAGTTCATCAATATATTGATTTGTTTTTGTATGGCTTTCTTTCTGTTTGATGCTAAAGAAATAAACAGTCTTCTCTAAATGTATTACTTGAATTCTATGCTGCAAATAAAGGAAAATCAGGAGTTTAATTGGTTTGGATGAAGCTCTTTAATTTGTCTTAACACCTCAAATATCTGCTGTAGTAATAATAAACCATTAAGTTGCCATCTTCTCAATTGAAGATTCCTCTGAGATGCAACTTCTACATCTGTAAGTTTAATTTACAATGAGCTGGAAATCTAATACATATCTATCATTCAGCAAGTTTCATGAACAGAAGAGTAATAAATATATTCCTTTTTTAAAAGGGGTTTGTATCTCCATGTGTCTGAAAGGGAGGGTAATGACCATGTAGTCTAGAATGTTTTTGGAGGTTTACTAAAAATTCTTTTGGAAAATCCAGATTCATCTACATTTAGGGAAAATCCCCATTCATATCTCCAAAAATTAGGGTATCGCTTTCTGCAATTTCAAGAAGTGAGTGGCCTTTTTTTCCATTAAAATATATTATTATGATTTGGAGGATAAATTGAAGCAGTTGTTTTCCCTTGTTCAGTCTGAAATCTCTCCTTTTCATCTTGGAACTGTTTTTCCAAAGTCCATGATAAATACCTGACATTTTTCAGTTGACAAATTAGATATAGTTCAGTGCTGAGTGATAAACAATTTAGCTCACCTAATTTAAAATATTTTTGTAAATTAAAGGAGGTTATTTTGTATGTAGAAGTTGTGATGACATGAATACATTACGTATTTTTACTGAATTAGTCCAATGCTCTGGGTTCACACAAGATACTGAGCTATTAGTTATAATAATAAATAGGCAATAAATATCTCTAGGAGGATTTTCTCATAGTCTTGTTTTTATATTGCAGGTACTAAGAAACAGTAGATGTAACTTTGAAGAAGTACTGTCGGTAAAATGGCTTTAGCTGGCTGTCCAGATTCCTTTTTGCATCATCCATATCGGATAGTAAGTTATAACTTAATTAAATTCCATATACTTCAATTGTATGTTCTCTTAGCAGAGTGCTTTGTCCAGGGTATATGCGTGGCTTTGCCTTAGTGCTCGTGGTAGGTTGGGTGCTTGATTAGATGGAAATTCATATCCATAGTTAATGCTTTTACATATCCACTAGCCATCCTTTCTGTCTTCTGTTGTGAATATCGCAACTGAAGATTAGATATGTATTAGGTAGTGTAGCTGAGACTGGTAAAAGCAGAGTTTATTGGGGTTTCCATGTTCTTGTCTTGTCTTGCCTTTTTTACCCCTGGTTTTGAATACCTGGGTGTGGGTTGGTATGTGTTCTAAAAGCTTAGAAGTTAAACAATCACAATATGGTATTTACTTGTAAATGAAATAAATAAATAAAATGAACAACTCCTAAAATAAATTGAACAACTTCTAAAATAAATATGTTCTTTTATGGGGAGTCTGTTTTATAACCTCTGTCAGAAACATTGCACCTGGGCCCACAAAAAAAATTGCCACAAAAAAATTGATTGGGGATCTCAGCTGAGTCAGTTCTGCTTGCAGAAGGCAGTCCTGCAAGTATCTGGGCTTTAAAGGTCAAAACCAACATCAGTGTAGCATCTACAGCATTACACGCCTGCAACACCTCTTACTTCCAACATGTAGAGAGCTGCATTCTACACCAACTGAGGTTTCTAAGTAGTCTTCAAAAATAGTTCTATGTAGAGTATTGCAGTAGTCTATCCTGGTGGTGATGAGATCATGAGTTACTAATGCCAGATATTAACTGTCTTTATCAGGTACTGTCTTTTTATCCTTCTATGAATCTAAAAAGTATAGTTCTTTTTCAAGGTCATGCATTGCGGTTTTTTAATCTCCCCTTACCCACACATATAAAGTTCCAGATAGGAAACAGAACAAAAATTAATTTCTTGGTGGATCACCATGTATAGATAGTCCTTGGGTTATGACCACTTGTTCAGTGACCATTCAAAGTTATGACAGTGCTGAATGAGGGGTACTTACAACTTGGAGTTCCAGCCGTTGCAGCATCTCCGCAGTCACATGATCACGATCTGGGCACTCAGTGCCCAATTCATGATTATGACATCTCAGTGAGCCAAAGTCATGTGATCGCAATTTCCAATGTTCCCTGCTGGCTTCCCATAAGCAAAGTCAGTGCAGAAGCCAACAGGAAGTTGGAAGTCACAAGTCGCTCCCATTCCTGCAGCCTTTTTGTCCACCCTTGTTCCATAGCACCTGCCTATGGCACCCCTTGTGGCATCTGTACACATACCGTGGCTCTCACCTGCTGCTTTCCCCCACCAGCCTGCTTGTCTGGGACTCCAGCCTCTTCCCACTTAGTGACCTGCATGGTCCTGGGATTACAATGGCAACTGGGACTGTGGGATTTCCATTACTAAGTGATGCAGTCATGTGATATTGCGCTTTACGACTGCATTTAGTGATGAAAATTCCAGTCCCAACTGCCATTGTAACCGGAGGACTACCGCCAGTCCCATGGAACCTCTCGAGATAAGGAGAGCATGGGAGATTGCCCACTTGTGCTCTGGACAGCTGATCCTTGTGAGGAGACCACAGGATAGCAGTTTCCCATGGGTTTGAGCGCCAGGAGACAAAGGGAAGCCATCACGCTCTCAACTGTGTCTGTGCCTTTTAAAGGACACTGGGTTCACTAACTTACTTTCTAATCACTTAAAGTACCTATTTAACTATCTTAAGACTATTAGAGATCTTCAAAATGACAAGTTTGCAAAGCCACCTTGTAGTTCTTTTATTCATTCCAGAATAAAAGAAAAATTAAGTATAAGCTTAAGAATGTAAATAATTTAAAACAAACAAGCAAAAAGCTAAATAAGGCTTTAATCCAAGAAAGTTATAAACAAATTAAGGGACAGGACAAATTTGGAATATTAGGACTTTTGCTATAAGGTTTTGGAAATAATTATATAAATAAATAGCATTTTGTGGGAATTGTTTAGTCAACCTTAAGTCATAACTGAAATTCGAGACTTTATTATTTCAGAAATTGGACACTAGAGGGGACTAAAGATTCCAGGCATAAAAGGAGAAGGTGGGGGGGGGAAAGAGAGAGAGAGAGAGGCATGCCTTTTGTCTTTGGTCAGCATTGAGACAAAATGTCAGAAAATGATATGACATTTGAAATACTCCAGGAGATATTTGAAGAATGGGGACAGAATGTCAGCAATGATGTCTGCTTCTATGGAAACTATGTTCAAAAAATGTTTAAAAATGACAGATATGAAAGAGAATACTTTGGAAGACCTACAGGATAAAGACCTGAAACAAACCTCATCTGTTGCAGAAATATTAGATTATAAAGAAATTGTTGAAATACTGGAAAAAATTTTTAAAAATGTGGATTATAAAACAGAGATAATAGTTAAAGTGGAAATACAAATGAGAAGCCAAGAGAATGACCTGGATCATGACTCCTTACTGGATTTACAAAAGAGGTTTGCTAAAGCCTCGAAGAAGCCTTTGAAATGGGAAAAAGAAAAATTTAAAAGATATCAAATCCTACAACAACATCTGAATGCATTAAAATTCAAGATTGCTAGAAGCAAAAGGAAGGAGTTCAAAGTTGGTTTGTTTGACCATGGTTAAACCAAGACACATTTCTCTAAAATTCT